ATTCCACCCACACCCCTGGGGGTCAGTCCAGCTGCACACCTGGGAGTTAGTGCACCTGCACACCTGGGGGTCAGTGCATCTACACACCTGGGGGTCAGTGCATTTGCACCCCTGGGGTCAGTGCATCTACACACCTGAGGGTCAGTGCACCTACACACCTGGGGGTCAGTGCATCTGCACACCTGGGGGTCAGTGCACCTACACACCTGAGGGTCAGTGCATCTGCACACCTGGGGGTCAGCGCACCTGCACACCTGGGGGTCAGTGCGCCTACACACCTGGGGGTCAGTGCCCCTACACACCTGGGGGTCAGTGCACCTACACACCTGGGGGTCAGTGCATCTACACACCTGGGGGTCAGTGCATCTGCACACCTGGGGGTCAGTGCACCCACACCCCTGGGGGTCAGTCCAGCTGCACACCTGGGAGTCAGTGCACCTGCACACCTGGGGGTCAGTGCATTTGCACCCCTGGGGTCAGTGCATCTACACACCTGGGGGTCAGCGCACCTACACACCTGGGGGTCAGTGCATCTGCACACCTGGGGGTCAGTGCACCTACACACCTGAGGGTCAGTGCACCTACACACCTGGGGGTCAGTGCACCTACACACCTGGGGAGGGCAAATCTGTCTCAGTTGTCGGTAAGCCACCACAGTTTAAGTCGGCGATGATCAGAGAAGTATGATTCCCGGGATGTGTGTTGTGAGGTCAGAGCCTCCTTTGTGTGGCCCCTCCCACGGCAGCTGCCTCTGCCCCTCTCCTGCCCCCCAGACTGTGTTGCTCCTGGTCTGTCCAGCTGCACTGGAAGCTCCTGGGAGCTGGAGGCACGTTGGCCTTGGAGATCACATTGTGTCTGACCAAGAAACATGTATCAGACGACGCTCATTCTCTTCCCTGTGAGATTTTTGTCTGCAATGAGAACTTTTGGGGAAAAAGTGTTTCTTTTAGTAGCTTCTCTGCCAATTCTAGTTGAAGAGGAGTTAGCCAGGAGTTCAGACACATTTTTTCTGAGTTACACCCTTTATTCAGAAGCCCGTTCTAATAGCTTTGATCCTCTTTCTCCCTACACTGTTCTGATGGGCTGGCACCTCACACATTTCCTTGTATCTGTCAGCTCCCCTGGGGAGAGAGAGCTCAAAGAAGAGAGAATCGTACAGAGATGAGAGGGCGCTGAAGGCCCACAGCTGTCACGGGACCCAGGTCTGGCAACTGTTTTCTCAGACCTGCACTTCCTTAGCAGACACCGGTGAACACTGCCGTGCAATGGAGGAGGGATGGAGGAAGCAAGCACATGCCTGCATACAGGTCACCTGTGCGTGCTTTCACCACGCATAGAACTATCCCACATGGATCCCTAGGCTGCCGCGACATGTGCCTGCTTGAGTGTGTCTTAATAGCTCACTGTGGTATCAATGTGTAGTCTGAGTTTAAAGTGACTGGTTCATTGTTTCTGCAAATCCTAAGAGAAGGGGCAGGGATGTCCATTCGTGAGAGCTGCCTGGGGCAGATGAGCCGGGCGCTGTGGCCACCTGTGACCTGACCATGACCATTTGTAGGTTGTTTACAAACCACCTGGGATGAAGGAAGCCCCTCCTACTCAGGAAGGGGTGCGTGTATGCACTGGGAGTGTGGGAAGTGTTCCTGTTGATTCCAGGACTGGAGCACGGCCACCTTGTCTTCTAGAATCGTCTGTGTACATTGCAGGCGTACACAATGCGGGTTTTTTTTCCTCCAGCTTTTTGTTATTATTCCTCAACCTTATATATTCAAGTTTATGGGGAATAGTTCACCTGGAGAAGATTTGGTCCCGTTGAGCCGCCTTTGCGGAAACGGCTTTAATTCCCCGTTTCTCTGAGCGTTCCTGTGACCACAGGCCGCCGAGTGCTGGCTGGCGGGGTTGCCAGTGATGGCAAGATATGGTGACAGCTCCTCCAGCCAATGAGAACGGAAACAACCAGTCTTTTTCAAGAAAATACGTTTTTTCTCCCTGGGGGATCAGGCCCAAGCTGGCAGTCAGACATCCCTCTGGCAGCCTGGGAGCCCTCGGGGGATGTCCACTTGCCAGCAGGGAGCAGACCTAAGCTGCAGTCGGACATCCTTAGCGCTGCTGAGGAGGCGGGAGAGGCTCCCACCACCACCCCTGTACTGGCAGCCGTCAGCCTGGCTTGTGGCTGAGCAGAGTTCCCACTGTGGGAGCGACTGACCACCAGGGGGCAGCTCCTGCATTGAGCTAGCGGAGCCGTGCATGCCCTGTGTGCTGGGCTAGCAGAGCAGTGCGTGCAGAGTGTGCGGGGCTAGCAGAGCGGGGAGTGCAGAGCGGTGTGAGCGGGGCTAGCGGAGCGGGGCGTGCAGAGCGGTGTGTGCGGGGCTAGCGGAGCGGGGCGTGCAGAGCGGTGTGAGCGGGGCTAGCGGAGCGGGGTGTGCAGAGTCATGGCAGCGATTCATGAAGAAAGCATTTCGCAGAGGCCCGGCCCAGGCCCGCGCTAAGGTGTCCCAGCACCGCTCCTGTGCTGCGCCGTCCTTGCTCGTGGTCTTGTCTTCCGCTGGGGCTGGTTCTCAGCACAGACCCCGTCGCCTGGAGCTGTGCGTAGGGGAGTTTGGAGAAGCGCAGGGAAGGCTGGCCCTGAACATAGGCGGCCACCTACTCGGACAGACAGCTATTTTCGAGGTGAATGAGAGACATCCTACGGCCTTGACTGCACTGACCTCTAACCTCTGGAAGAAAAGCAGGGGAGGGGAGCTGGGGAGACAGTGGGGAAGATGCAGGCTTCACGTTGGGGACCGCTGTGGAATGAATGCTGTGCCCGGGGAGGCAGAGACTCTAGCACACGTGTGCTTGCTGTGGGCCTGGGTCCTACTGCACATGAAGGCACCAAGGAATCTACCCGCTAACGTGCTGGCGCCATCAGACACCCCGCCGCACACGGGCCCCGCCTTCGTGTGCAGGGGAGGAGACACAGGCCTGGACGGCGAGGGGACGGAGGGCCCGCACGCAGGCACTCGCCTCCCTGTCCCTGACCCTGACTCTGCCCAGCCGTCCTCAGGGGGGACTAGTTAGCAGGTGCTGGCGCCTTGTCACCTGAGACATTGTTTCAAACAGGTTGGTCTCTGCGGCGGACGCAGCCCTCGGCCTGATGCCACCAGGTCTGGAGGACTGACCGACGCTCACTCCGGCTCCCGCCATGGGGCCCTCCGGGAGCCTGCTGGGTGGACACCTGCAGATTGCCCTGTGGGGAAGCTTGGCAGCTGCCGCCACCTTCTTCCTCATCACCTTCCTCATCTTCCTGTGCTCCAGCTGTGACAGGTGAGAGCCCGCGCCCTTCCAGTAGCCTCAGAAGAGACTCAACACGCGTCTTTTAAGAGTCTGGACATGGCTTCCTCCCCTGATGGCTCTGTCAAGAGAAGCAGAGCTGGACTCTCCGGACCCAGGAGCCCCTCCTGCCTGCCCAGTGGGACCCAGGCCTGCGGGGCTGGGACTGTGTGACCAGGACCAAGTGGGCCTTTGCTCCCAGGCCTGGGCAGCCGCCTCTGTCGTTGTCGAGTCTCCCACTAGGGGGCGCTGTTGCCTTTTGCATCTATGGGGACTCGCTCTAAAACTGATGGCTTCCTAGCCTGAGCGAGTAAAAACAACTTCTATTTTTACTCTGCGGACTTTTCCACAGCCTGGAAGGAAGTGCACATGACTCATCCTGAGAGCATGCGCCCTTCCTGGTGCCAGAATTTGTCTTGTCTGATTATTTTCTGAGGCCCCCGCAGTGTGACTGCAAAGCCTCCAGCTGGGAGAACAGGAGACATGTCTGGGTGCTCTTTTCTTAAGGCATCGCTCGCCCAGCGTTCCACATGTGATCAGGGTCCATGGCATCCTGCCTGGTCCTCTGGTGGGGACCCTGCTGTGACTCGCCCCAGCCCCTCCCGCCCACGCCTGTCCGGCTTTGCTTCCCTAGCAGTTGACCTTGGTCTGACATTAGGATGGGAAGGGGGTGTGTGTTTGATTTTAGATGGTGAGTGTGATATCACAGGAACATCTCATTTTTCATTTCAGAGAAAAGAAGCCGAGACAGTACAGCGGAGACCATGAGAACCTGATGAACGTGGTGAGCCCCAGTGCATGTGTGTGTGCGTGTATGCACATGTGCATCCATGTGTCTATGTGTGTGCACTTGCATCTTCATGTGTTCGTGTGTGTCTGCGTGTGTGCATGTGTGCCTCCATGTGTGTGTGTCTACATGTGCATGTTTTCAAACACCAGCCACTCATCTAAGCGTGTTCCCACAAGCTGACAATTTCCTTCCGGAAAGAACAGACTGAGCTCCCAGCTGCCTGGGCGGGTCCTTCCTGCAGGTGCAGGCTCACCACGGCCGGAGGCCTGTGCACGCAGCCAGGCTGCTGGGGGGTTCTGACAACGGCTGCAATTGTGCGGGGCCTGGGAGAGAGATCCTGAGGGAGCCAGGGACTACGGCAGGGATGTGTCTTTGTTGCATCCACCCCACTCTAGCTCCCGTGGTCATTCGCTAGGGCTGTCATAATGAAGGACCACAAATGGAGTGGCTTAAATAGCAAGTCTGTTGCCTCAGAGCTCTGGAGGCCAGAATCGCAGGAGGTGTCAGCGGGTTGGCTCTGAGGGGATGTCACTGGTGGCTTGCTGGCATCCTTGGCATTTTTGGTGCCTCCCTCATCAGGTGGTGCCCCCCGCCCCCCGCCCCTGCCATGTGGTCCTGTCTCTGTCCAAGTTCTCCCTTTGCAAGGACTCCAGTGAGACCTCCTCTTAACTGGTTTCATCTGCAATGACCCTGCTCCCAAATAGGGTCACTCCCAAGGTAGTGGGGCTGGGACTCCACAGGGATTTGGGGAGGATACAGTTCTCCCCCTAACAGCTGGCCACCAAGCTCACTAGGGCCGGGGAGCCCCAGCACTGCAGGTGTGGCCGGGCCTCGCTGTCTGCAGGTGTGGCCTGGCCTCGCTATGTTCTGCAGCCCTCTGTGTCTTCCGGGTCCTGACCCAGCCCCGAAGGCGCTTCAGGACCACCTGGGGAGTAGCCGCCTGAGTAGCCTGGTCCTTGTGGTGAGAGAGAAGGGTTCCGTGCTCAGGTGCATGCCCCTGACCCGCTGAGTCATTCCAGCAGTGGGGGCCGGCCCACCCTCGTGTTCGCAGAGGCCCTGCCTGAGCCCCACGCGGTGCCCACGCAGTGCCCAGACAGAGCCTGCTCCCGGTCCCGGTGTGGTCTCCCGGTCCCGGCGTGGTCTCCTGGTCCCGGGGTGGTCTCCCGGTCCCGGCGTGGTCTCGCCAGCAGGCAGCACATGTGGAGTCAGCCTGTTTGGGGAGAGGGCGTAAGCCTGCAGGCAGCAGGCAGGCTCCACGCTCACTGAGGCG